TGGCCGGCGCAGCCGGCGCGCTGCGGCCGGCGTACCACGCTGATCCGATGGCAGGAGCCAGGTACTTCTCCTGGTCTCCCATGGGGTGCAGGGCCCAAGGACTTGGGCCATCCTCCACTGTACTCCCGGGCCACAGCAGAGAGCTGGACTGGAAGAGGGGCAACCAGGACAGAATCCGGCGCCCCAACCGGGACTAGAACCCGGTGTGCCAGCACCGCAAGGTGGAGGATTAGCCTAGTGAGCCGCAGCACCGGCCCAAATCAATAAATCTTAAAAAAAGAAAAGAAAAAGAAAGAAACAAGGTGTTCCCATTTTAAACACTGAACGAAACGTGTGTGGGCGACACACCACACCCAAGGGTCTGAGCTGGCAGACTCTGCGGCGACCTCATTGCTGTCCTGCAGGCTGACCATGACTTGGAAGGCCCACACGTGAGGGAAGGCGCCCAGGAACCTGATGGCCGGACACTCGGGCTGTGTGTCCATCACTGTGCACCTGTCGGCATTTGCTGGATCCTGCACTGCTCCGGTCAATCACAGGACAAAGGCTTTGTTGTGTAGCTGCTTCTTTCCTAGGAGGGTTAGCCACACCCCAGCTCCGGCAGGTGCTGCTGCTCCCTCTTCCCAGCCTCAAAAGCCTCAGCCATAGGCGCCCTCCGCCCAGCTACAAAACTCTGTATTTTGAGAAGTCTTCATTTTTACTTTTTTAAAGATCTATTTACTTATTTGAAAGGCAAAGTTACAGTAAGAGGGAAAGACAAAGGCCTTCCATCCACTCGTTTACTCCCAAATGGCAGCAACAACTGGAGCTGGGCCAGTCCAAAGCCAGGAGCCAGGATCCAGGAGCTTCTTCAGGGTCTCCCAGGTGGGTGCAGGGGCCCAGGCACTTGGGCCATCTTCTACTGCTTTCCCAGGTGCATCGGCAGGGAGCTAGGTCGGAAGCACACAGCCAGGACTCGAACCCATGTCCCTGAGATGCTGGCCCCGCAGGTGGCGACTTTACAGCACTGTTAAGACAACTACACAGCAGCAGCTTTGAGTGGTGGGCCAGCAGCAGGGGGCGTGGGCCTCCCCCTGGGATTCTCCCAGAGGCTTCAGGATGCACCCTGTGGCAGTCTGTGGATGGGACTCAGAAGTCACCTGACGGCCAAAAGGCACCAGTGCACACGTCCACACAGCAGCAACTTGTCAGAAACACGGCTTCAGCTCTAAAGATCCCGACACCTGTTCTTTGCCAAGGACTTCGTTAAAACAGAGCAAAAGCAAACTAACCCTTCAAAAACAACAGTCCCAGGGCTGGGTGTCTGGCTCAGTGGTGAGAAGCCCCTTGGGAGGCCCAGCCCCCTTCACACGAGGGCCTGGCTTGAGTCCCATCCTCTGACCCAGATTCCTGCCAATGCACCCACAGGCGGCAGGTGACACTCAAGTGCTCGGGGCCCGGCCACCCACGTGGGAGACCCAGATGGAGTTCGGGGCTTTTGGCTTCAGCCTAGCATTTGAGGAGTAAAACTGCAGATGGAAGACTTTTCTAAGTCTGTATCTCTCTGCCTTTCAGATAAAACTTACTGTTTTCAAGATTTATTTATCCAAAAGTCAGATAATTAGAGAGGATGAGACAGAGATAGAGATCTTCCATCCACTGGTTCACTTCCCAGGTGGCTGCAATGGCCAGGCAGGGCTGAGCCAGGAAAGCCAGGAGCTTCTTCTGGGTCTCCCATGTGGGTGCAGGGCCCAAACACTTGGGCCATCCTCTGCTGCTTTTCCCAGGCCATTAGCATGGACCTGGGACATAAACCAGCACCCATATGGGATGTTGGCATTGAAGTGTGCAGCTCTACCAACTACGCCACAATGCCAGGCCCTAAATAAAACTTTTTTTAATTAAATAAGTAAAATAATAACAAAAACAAAAAAGTCTAAAAAGTAAAAATAAGGGCCAACAATGTGGTTCAGCGGGTTAAACTGCCACCTGCAGTGCCAGCATACAAAATGGGCAAGGGGTCAGTCCCGGCTGCTCCACTTCCAGTGCAGCTCCCTGTAACGGCCTGGGAAACAGTGTCAGATGGCCCAAGTCCTTAGGCCCCTGCACTGCACCCACATGGGAGACTCAGTAGCTCCAGGCTCCTGGCTTTGGATCGGTCCAGCTCTGGCTGCTGCAGCCATCTGGGGAGTGAACCAGCAGATGGAAGACCTCTCTCTCTCTCTGCCTTTCAAATAAGTAAATAAATCTTAAAAAAAAAAAAGGCCGGCGCCGCAGCTCACTAGGCTAATCCTCCGCCTAGCGGCGCCGGCACACCAGGTTCTAGTCCCGGTCGGGGCACCGGATTCTGTCCCGGTTGCCCCCCTTCCAGGCCAGCCCTCTGCTGTGGCCAGGGAGTGCAGTGGAGGATGGCCCAGGTGCTTGGGCCCTGCACCCCATGGGAGACCAGGAAAAGCACCTGGCTCCTGGCTCCTGCCACCGGATCGGCGCGGTGCGCCGGCCGCAGCGCGCCGGCCGCGGCGGCCATTGGAGGGTGAACCAACGGCAAAAGGAAGACCTTTCTCTCTGTCTCTCTCTCTCACTGTCCACTCTGCCTGTAAAAAAAAAAAAAAAAAAAGGAATTCACTCCCCCTCCCCCTCTTCCATATGGTAGGCAGAAGGCAGGCAGCAGCAGAGCCTGGGCCACACTGGTGAGCGTGGACACTGGACATCAGCCTCACGCAGCTACTGGAATTCATCACGTAAAATCTGAAAGTCAGCTCCTCCGCAGAGTGGCCACACCAGGTGCTCACAGCCGCAGTGGACAGAGGCTACCACGCGGGGGACAGCAGACAAAGGTCCACTGGACTGGGCACTGCGACAGGTCTGCGAGCCCGGGTGGACACCCCTGCCTCGCGCTGAGGGAGGACTTTACCTGCCGCTCGGTCAGATCGGCCAAGTCCATCTTGTTGAGGACGAGCAGGTGGGGCTTCAGCCCCAGGGCCTCCTGGAACACAGGGTTGCGCCCTGAGAGCGGGATGTGACCAAGTCAAGGCAAAAACTTCAAAGCGCGAGCTCCTCTCGTCCTCGCCTCCCAGGCGGCACAGGAAGCCCGGTCTTGGGGCGAGTGCCCACCCTGGCGGCCCTCGGCTGGGGACAGGGCAGCAAAGGCCACAAGAGGTGAGCAGGCGGTGGCTCTCGCGAAGTGATGACAACAACGAAAGCCCAGTCTTGGGAGCCGGCGGCTGCTGAATCGCCGAGCCGCTGCCGTTCCCGCACCTGGAGAGCTCTGCCCAGACCCAGCACACGCAAACCGCGCCCTCCCGCCACTGTCAGACAGGAGGACCCCGAACCTGCCAAGAGGGAGACCCAGCACGGGCAGGCACTGCTTCCTGTCTCACTCCTGGGCTCTGGCTGCAACTTCCCTGCCCACCCCCCAGCCCTGTAAGCAGCTGCACCCCAGAGGGACCTGATGAAAAGCACCCCTGTGCCCATTCAGGGGACCACGGCCCCAGACCCCTGCCCCAAGGCCAGGATTCAGTGATGGGGCTTCTTGTGCATCCCAGATAAGCCAGAATGTGCAGACGAAAGCAAGGGCTGTTTTCTGATCAGTCACATGACAACTGCATGCCTCATGACTGCTTAAGACGGGCAGCTGTCAGTCAATGCCCCTGCCCAGCACAGAAGCCCAGCGCTGCACCCTTGGAGCTGCAAACGTGCCCCGCGCTGCACAGCGGCTTCCCTCCAGGCAGTGGAAGAAACAGCCACACAGGCGGACCTGCCCAGGGTAGGGACCGGCCCGCAGGTGCGGGGAGGGGGATCCCACAGCTCTCCAGCAATGCCCGCGCCCCCGCCCCCGGAAGAATCTGGCAGTAACCAACGGGGTCTGAGAAGTGCCCTCAGCTGCCAGCAAGGTGCTGCCATCTGCAGGAGGAACGCCCGGGGACGAGGACTTGGAGAAGGGGAGAGCCAGCCGGCCTGCTCCGGGAGCTTCCTCTGAGACTCCCACGTGGGTGCGGGCCCCAAGCACGTGTGCGGTCGCCTGCCGCTTTCCCGGGCCCATTAGCAGGGAGCTGGGTCAGGAGTCGAGCAGCCGGGTCTGCAGGCCGGCGTCGGAGGCGGTGCTACCACGCTGCTGGCGCCCGGCAAGGGCTTCTAACCTAAGGTGTCAGGTCCAGCGGAGCGCAGGGGAGCGCAGGGGAGCTGCCGGAGGCCAGGAGCAGCAGCGACACGGCCGCACTCCAGTCCGCATCCCACTCGCGACCCAGCTTCCTGCTGCTGCAGCGGGGGCCCCGCACCGGCGGTGGGGGGCGTCTGGGGAGCGAACCAGCGGCTGGGAATCTGTCTCCCTGCAGCACACACACGCATCTTAAAAAGAAACACGAAAAACCCGGACCCCGCCTAACGGGTCCGGCCCCCGAGAGGATATCCGGGCGTCGCGCACCTCGATGACGCAGTCCACGCGCGTCAGGCTGCTCTGCATCTTCTTCAGCCCTGCGAGACGGAGCCCGTGAGCCGCGCGTCCACGCCCGCCCCGAGCGGCCGGCCAAGGAGCTCCTGGCGCCCTCAGGACGCGCCCCTGGCGCTGACGTCTAGGCTCCGGGAGGCGGGAGCCGGCTCAGTCCTGCCGGGTACCCCGGCGTGAGGTTCAAGGGGGCGCCGGGCCGGGGAACCCCCGGGACCTCACCCTTGGCCATGTGGCCCGGAAACCAGCGCGCCACATCCTGGCCGCGCAGAGCGACGCCCGCCCGCCAGGCTGCCCCGGTGACGCCGCTCAGTGCGCGCGCGGACAGCCGCATAGCTCCTCGCCGGCCAACTCCGCAGCCCGGCCGGCCGACCGCGCCGACCCGGAAACACTCCACGCTGACTTCCTCCGCGGCCGGAGCCCGCCCCTGGGACTCCGGCGCGCCCCGCGCCTGCGCAGGACGCTCCCACGGCCGCGGACGGGGCGGGGCCGGTCAAGGGGCGGGGCCACTGCGCAGGCCCAAGCTCCGCATCGCGCCCTGCGGGTGCGGGAATTCATCGCTATTAACAGGAGGGGGCGTTAGGCACTCGGGTTAAGACGTATCCACGGGCTTCCGCATCCCAAAGCCGCGTGTCCCCGAGGATGCGCACCTGGAGGGCACCTGCCACCCCCGTGGGAGACCCAGGTGGCGCCCCACACCCCCCTCCCCGCGCCAGGGCAGCGTGGGAGCCTGGGAGCAAAGACCACACCGGACACACGGACATTTCAGGAGCTTTATGCGCGCGGTGGCACCGCCAGGCCTGGCTTCTGGGCCAGGGCCGCGCGGCTCAGGCCAGCCCCGGTAGGCTCCAGTGAGGACGGAGGGGGCGGCGGCCGTAACTCCCCGGACCGGGAAGCCGCCTAAAGCCTGGGCCATGGCCGCGGCGCCTGTGGCTCCCACAGCCCAGCGAGGCGGTCGGCCTCCCGCCAGCCGGAGAGCAGGGCTCCGTGCGTGGTGGAGTAGAACGTGCGGTGCGTGGCCTCCCCCGCAAACAGGACCTGCAGCTGTGGAGGAAGGTGGTGTCAGAACAGGGGTGGGGGGCCCCACGCGTGCACACACACACAGGGGAGCGCAGTGTGGACCCCACGGGCAGCAGCATCCCGACATCAGCCGCGGCTCCACACTGTCACTGCCCACCTGGGCGCCGGCGCTGTCCGCAGGGAGGGGCTGGGCCAGCAGATCGATATCGTCGCCGGTGCTGCCCACGGCCACGTAGCTGTAGGAGCCGCGGGTGTAGGGGGCACTGTGCCACCGCGACCGCAGCACGCTCTTGGGCGCCGGGAGCTCCGGGTTCCCTGGGCAGCAGAGAGGCAGGCGTCCGCCCGGGGTTCCACTACGCACCACCAGCCTCCCCGTGTGCACGGAGGTCTCTGGGCAGGGTGGGGGACGGCCGAGCGGCTCCTCAGGGGCATTACGACCCCACCGCCAGCCTCCCAGGGTGACCAAGCGCCCTTCCTGGCTGCCACTGTGACTGACAGCTGCAGCCCCTAACCCTGGCTGACACCGCCTTGGGCTGCACCTGTGGCTTTCCGGAGCACGTGGGTTAGAGATGTGAGCACCTCTTCATCCGACAGCGTCTCCATGAATTCGGACTCCAGCCCAGCGATGAAGCCGCACAGCACATGGACAGACCTGCAGTGGACAGGACGGTCAGCCCAGCTCTGCCCGCGGCTGCGCCAAGAGCCCGGTCCCGGGGCCGGAGTCCGCAGTGCCTCAGAGCCACCCGCTCCCCGGGTGAGGTCTGCACAGCATTTGGGCAGAAAACCCCACTTCCAGTAAGCAGTAACGTCATGAATTTCCCTCCATCCCGGCTGCGTGTAGCCCGGGGCACAGGCGTGAGCCGGGCGTGGTGGTCACCGCGGCCTGGGCAGCCAACAGGCGCCTGTCCCGTCCCTGACAGAGGCCCGTCGCGTGGGGTTAGAAACCCTGTGTCTGCCGGCAGCTTGGCAGTGACGGGGACGCCATTCGCGGAGACGGCACCAGCGCTGTCTTCTGAGCGACCAGAACCACAGATGAGAGGTCTGCGTGGGAAATGAGCAGACCCGGGCCGGCCGCGGGGCACCGCTTCCTGGCGAGGAGTGGGGTCAGGAGCGGCTCCTGCACCTCCCCCGCCCCCTCCCCCTGCTGCCCTCTGTCAGCGGAAGCCAGGACCAGTGCAGAGCGACCCGGGAGACTCTGCCCTGAGATCTGAGAGGGTCAGGACCATCCTCCCAATAGTAACTGCTTCTAAAGGCCTCACTGTGAGCAGACACACGGGGACCCTGAGGGCCACCGCCCCGAGCCACGGGCAGTGTCCCATGAGAGCACCCAGGGTCCCCATGCCCTGACACAGCACAGCCTGCAGGTCCCGCCCTGGGGCAGCTGGCCCACCCCACTGCCCTTCCCCCACCTCAGGCGGCTGAGGCCACAGCCCCTGCTCCCACGGCACCGCCACCTGACCCGCATCTCAGAGGCTAACAGCAGTCGTCTGCTGTCATTTCTCAGTGTGACTTCCCAAGCCCACAGGTGCTGCTTTATGGGGGCGTGGCCCTGCAGGACTTCCCAAGCCCACTGGTGCTGCTTTATGGGGGCGTGGCCCTGCAGCTCCACCACCCAGGGCTCTGCTCTCAGCACCTTTCAAACTTCCCAGGGACCCCTGAGCTCTGGCTTCCCAAGAATCCAAATGCACCTGCTCCCTGACTGAACACCCCTCAAGTGCACAGCACCCCTGGGCCCTTGGTGTTGGGGGCGTCCGTGTGGGACCCCCACCCAGGCCGCCCCAGAAACACGGCGCAGGAGGGGCGGGGCCCTCAGACGCACCCGCAGGGTGGCAGCACGAGAAAGCCGATGAGCTTCCGGTACCAGGTGTCGGGCAGCACGGGGGCGGCGTCCTGCAGGGGTGAGCTGTCCTCCCACACCAGCTGGATGTGCTGGCAGGCCGGCTCCCAGAAGGGCTCCTCGAACTCCAGGAAGATTTTATTGTTGGTCCCAAAGCCCATCTTCTTGACGGCTTCTGCCTTGTCGGGAGGCAGCGGAGGCACAAAGAAGGTGTCCAGACGCTCCTTAAGGAAGCCTGGAATTCACAAGGCGCTCGGCTCCCACCACAGACCCCCACAGCCGGAACCCCGCAGGACGGCCCGGGCCCCTGCTGCCCACTCCTGGCTGTAGCCTGGCCCAGCCCTGGCTGTGGAGTAAACCAGCAGACAGAAAAATCTCTCTCTGCTTCTCAATGGAAATAAATTTTAAACATTCTTTAAGGAAAGCACAGTCAACCAGCAGAAGGGCCAGGATCTGTGGCCCCCTACGGCAGCTGTCCGTCCACACCTCCGGCCAGCGGCTCCCGATGCCCATAGCTGGAAGTGGCCCTGCAGGTGCACCCACACATGCGACACCGTGTGGAACAGACAGTAATAAGCACCTCAATTACCAACAGATATATTAAAAAATGACCTTTTCACACAGAAAACACTATGCCACTTAACCAACCCTCAGCTTCTGCTGAGCCACAAGGACACAGCTGTAACCTCGTCACCAATGCCCTGACCCAGGAACATGGACAAGCAGGCCCCGTGGGAGCCACTGCAAATAAACCAACAGAGCCAGTGGCATTTATTTAAAAAAAAAAAAATGACCGGCGCTGTGGCATGGTGAGCTGGGCCCCTGCCTGCAGTGCTGGCTTTCCATATGGGTGCCGCTTCTAGTCCCGGCCACTCTTCTGACCCAGCTCTCTGCTGTCACCTGGACAAGCAGCGGAAGATGGCCCAAGTGCTTGGGCCCCGGCACTCCCATGGGAGACCTGAAGGAGGCTCCCAGCTCCTGGCTTTAGATCAGCCCAGCTCCGGCTGTTGCAGCCATTTGGAGAGTGAACCAGCGGATGGAAGATCTCTCTGTCTCTCCCTCTCTCTGTCTGTAACTCTACTTGCAAAAAAATAAATAATGAAAAAAAAAAAAAAGACAAATCTCTATGGGCTGACTTGGAGAAAGAAAACAGCCACAGAGGTGAGGGGTGTGGTGTGAACACACCGTGGGAACGGCACAGAGGTTAGGGGTGTGGTGTGAACACACCCTGGGAACGGCACAGAGGTGAGGGGTGTGGTGTGAGCACACCGTGGGAACGGCACAGAGGTTGGGGTGTGGTGTGAGCACACCGTGGGAACGGCACAGAGGTGAGGGGTGTGGTGTGAGCACACCGTGGGAACAGCAGAGGTTAGGGGTGAGGTGTGAGCACACCTTGGGAACGGCACAGATGTGAGGGGTGTGGTGTGAGCACACCGTGGGAACGGCACAGAGGTGAGGGGTGTGGTGTGAGCACACCGTGGGAACGGCACACAGATGTGAGAGGTGTGGTGTGAGCACACCCTGGGAACAGGATGGGTGCTGTGATCCTGGCCCTCTCAGCTCCTCCAGGAAGGGCAGAGGACACAGCCACCCTAGGCAGACTCCCAGCCCAGCCACACCTGGACGCCCACGTCAGCTCAGTGCTGCACCAGCTGCGTGAACTGAGGGAGTTTTCTCTGCTGTCTCACCAGGGCAGAGGGACGGTCACCACCTCAGGCCCTGGGAGCAGTCGCTGTGAGAAGCCAGCAGCCAGCACCCCAGCTACGTTGTTCCCAGCCTCATCTCGCCAAAGCTCAGACGGCTGCCACCCCGACAGCTCCCTCCGAGGCCCCTGGCTGCTCCCTCAGGCCACTGACGAGCCTGTCCAGCCCCAGGCCCACCTGCAGAGGCCGCCCCAGTCGCCTCCAGGTAAGCACAACAGGCGCTGAGTGGCGCATTCTCTTACTGCCAAGCCCGGCACTCCCAGACAGGCAGATGCTACAAAACCTGAACACTGACGTGAGCTCAGCGGCCGAGCAAAGGGCTGGGGGCCATGGAACCGGGGTGGGGGCCTGGCCGGAGTGGGGGCTACCTAGGGGCACGGTGATGATGACATGATGGGCAGGCAAGCGGTCTCCATCCTCACATTCCACCAACACCGGGAAGGTCTCGCCGGGAGATGCCGCCTCCTGGAAGGCTCCAGCCCAGTGCACCGTCTTCACGGGCTTGTTAAAGACCATCACGTCCTTCGGCAAGGAGGCCACTAAGTGGTCTGTGAGTCCCTGGTAGCCCCTGGGAGACACAGGTGCAAGGTGCACAGCAGGTAAGCCCTGCCCCCACCCCAGGAGGGACCCCTGGGGCTGCTGGGGAGCAAGCTGAGGCCTCCGGGAGACCCCTGGGCCACTGCAGGACAGGGCTGGCCCTGACCACACCCAAGCGCCAGCTCTGTGCATTTGACTTCACAGGGCTAACACCAAGGACCCTGGGGGGAGAGGGGTCAGCACCTGGCCTGCAGGTTACAAGGGCCCCCGGACCCCACACCTCCTGTGCCCCCAGCCGGGCCTGGGGTGTGGGTGGGGGAGGGGCCCACATACCCAGCAAAGGTGCAGTCCAGCCCCGGCAGCACCGTGTACTCCCCGAAGGGCGCGAGGGCCACCAGGTCCATGCTGTGGGTGCCACTCACGCAGCACTCCACGTTCAGGAAGGTGTTCAGGATGGCCAGCTTCAGCTTCCTGGTGTCCTCGTCCTCCGTCCAGCCGGCTGCCAGCTGGCCGATCTCCCGCTTGAGGAAGTCCCCAACGCTGGGCACCGGGGTCTTGGTGGAATGCAAGAACTCTCGCGTCTGGTCTATGAGGCCGTAGAACAGACTGGCCATCTCGGCCACCAGCTGCAGGCTCACGCAGGCCCCGGAGCTACTGTAGCACACGGAGGGCAGGCCCACGTGGCCGCCCGTCTCCAGCAGCTGGTTCTCCTCGGACAGCTCCCTCTCCCCCAGGAGCCCGTACCTGGCCGCCAGCTGGAACACAGGGTTGCCCTGGGAGGGGCCATGGATCCAGTGCGCGCCCACCTCCACCACGCCACCTGGGAGGGGACAGGAGACGCCACCTGGAGGTGCCCTCCCAGAAAGGCCAGCTTCTCCGAGGAACACCCCAAGAGCAGACTGCGGCCGGGCGGTCCCCGACCGGGGAAGGACCCCAGGGCTGACAGAGGGGCAGGCTACCTCCCTGGGAAGGTGGAGCCCACGCCCTGCGGGCCCCGGGAACTCTGCTTAGGAGGCCAAGGCGGGGAGCCGGGGAAGGCCTTGGGCCAGTAACCGAGGGCACAGGCCGCGAGCTCGGACAGGGCCGGTTAGTTCGGGCGGAGCGTTCGGAATGGGTCAGAGGGAGGCCCCGGAGGGGCGGTTACCGAAGCTGCGCTCGGAGCGGATGCGGCCGCCGGCACGGGCCGTGGCCTCCAGGACCCGCAGGTGCGGAGAGGCGGGGTGGCGGCAGAGCCGCTGCGCCGCGCCCAGTCCCGCGATGCCGCCGCCCACCACCAGCACCCGCGGGCCGCCCGAGGCCTCCGCGCCGCCGCCCCTCGACTCCATCGCGTAGCCCCGGCAGCACCCGCGGGTCCGCCGCGCCGAGGCCCGCAGTTCGCCTAGGAGGCCGGAGGCGGAGCGAGAGGCGGCGCCGGCGCGGGGCGGGGCGGGCGAGAGGCTTGGCGTAGAGCGCCGGCGCGGGGCGGCCGCGGCCGGCGGGGACCGGCAGGTGCAGGCGTCCGGCCTCGGGCGGTCTGAACGACGGTGCCGCGGCCGCCGCCGGAGCCCCACCTGCGGGACTGCGCCCGCCGCGCGGGGACAGGAACGGCCCGCATTCGAAGCCGCCCTGAGCGCCGGGACGGGGCTCTGTATGCTAGCGGGACCCCGCACTGGGCACCGTGCGCCGGCGCGTCCCCTCCCAGCGACTGCGGTCCAGCACCCGCACCGGCGGGCAGAGGGAGGACCCGGGCGTCCGGGCGCTCGGCCACGCACCCTCCGACTAACACCAGGGCAGCCGGCCCCGCACCTGCGGGTACCGCCCTCCCCGCACGCCCGCCAGTCCCGCCCACTGCGCGTGCGCGCGGCTCTCGCGATGGCTGCGGCTCTCGCGGCGCCCGCCTGTGGGCGGGGAGAACCCTGAGTGGCGCGCTCGGGGGCGGGGCGGGGCGGGGCCAGTCGTCCGAAAGTGCCATGGCTGCCCTGCGCGCACTGCTGCATGCTGTCCGTCGCCCGCTGCGCGTCCCGGCCCGCAGCCCCGCGCTGCGCGCCTTCGCCTCGGGTGAGTGCGGGACCGCGGCGCACGGGATCCCGCCGTCACTCTGACCTGAACCGGTCCGCCCCGCACCTGACCCCGGCCCACACCCCCACCTGATCCCTGACCCCGCCATTCGCACACCCTCAGCTGATCGCGGAACCTAGCCTGACCCTGCATGCCCACCCCACCCCCCCACGTTGATTCTAGACCCCCAGCCTGGCTCTGCCTGCACCTCCTCATCTGCCACAGGTGTCTACCCCTTCGCCCGGTTCGCCGAGCTGGCTGGGGGCTGGGTGGAGGGAGTCGCTGGCTAATTTTCAGCTCAGTACCTGGATAGAGCGCCAACGCCTCGAGCCAGATGGGTGCTGGGTGGTTGGTTGTGCAACTCTGGGGCAGCGGGGGCCCAGGCACTGGGGATGCAGGCACCGCCCACACTGTCCACTGCCTCTGCCCGCCTCTGAGACCCCCTCCAGGCCACCCTGCCCCTCCCCGCCAGCCCCCATGGCAAGGGTTCTTGCTGGGGCAGGAAGATCCCTCACCCCATCCTCGCCCCGTGTTTCTGGTGGTGTTGGTGTCGCCCCCACCGCCGTCTACACTCACCTGGGAGCAGCTGTTTCCCGGCCTTGTGCAGGCGGCGCTCACGGGAGGCCCAGTGACTCCCGCACAGGTCACTGAGGCCCCTGCCTTACTGCTGAAGCCGCTGGCTGCTCACTTTGCCTGTTGGCTCCACTGTCTCAATCCGGCTGAGCCAGCTCCCGAGGCCCGGGGACAGCTGGCTCTGTCTCCGGCTCCGTCCTGTTTGCACCTTCACCTTACCTTGGCAACTCCCGTAGCCCTGGCTGTCAGAACACCGGGCCATCTCTGCTGTGTCCTGGGGCCCTGGGGGAGCCGACCTGGCACGCAGGAGGAGGAAGGCGCTCTGGGCGCTGTGCGGGACATCAGGAAGTGTTCATTTAGCCAAGGCCAGCCATGTGCCAAAGCCATCTCCAGGCCGAGGGCCTCTCAGAGCCACCTGTGTCTACCCCCCACCCCCGGTCGATGCCCCCTTTTTAGTTATTTTCTAAAGATTTATTTCCTGATTTGAGACGCACCATTACAGAGAGGTCTTCTGTCCACTGGTTCTCTTCCCCAGATGGCTACAATAGCCTGAGCTGGGCCAATCAGGAACCAGGAGCTTCCTCTGGGTCTCACACATGGGTGCAGGGGGCAAACACTTGGGCCATTTTCTACTGCTTTCCCAGGCCATAGCAGGGAGCTGGATCGGAAGAGGAACAGCCAGGACACAGGACATGTGTACAAGTTGGGTGCTAGCACCACAGGCCTTGGCTCATCCCACTGCGCCACAGCACTGGCCCTCTGACCCCTCTGCCTCCCCCCAGGTGCCAAGTTTGAGTACATCATCACCGACAAGAGGGGCCGGGGTGGCAGCGTGGGGCTGATCCAACTGAACCGCCCCAAGGCACTGAACGCCCTGTGCAATGGCCTCATTGAGGAGCTGAACCAGGCGCTAGGGGCCTTTGAAGAGGACCCTGCCGTGGGGGCCATCGTGCTGACGGGCGGGGACAAGGCGTTTGCAGGCAAGTGGGCAGCGGTGGCGCCAGATGGGGGGTGCACACCTCAGGGACCCCCTTAAACATGGAGCGGAGACACTGGGGGGCCGCCTGGGGAAGAGGTTTTGTGTACCATGGGGGCCCGGGTTCTGGTAGACACAGCCACCTTGAGTGTGTCCTGTCCTCAGCCTGTCGTGAGGCGTGGTAGCGCGCTGCCGTGGTATGCCTGCCTACCCACACGCCACCCCAGCACCCGCCCAGGGCCCCGCGAGCTGCGGCTGGTAGGGAGGTGTGAAGCTGTGGGGTCTGTGCTCCTGGTGGCTGAAGCCTCGGTTCCACCCCCAGCCGGAGCCGACATCAAGGAGATGCAGAACCACACCTTCCAGGACTGCTACTCCAGTGGGTTCCTGAGCCACTGGGACCAGCTCACCAGGGTCAAGAAGCCAGTCATCGCTGCTGTCAACGGCTACGCCGTGAGTATCAGACGGGAGCCGCCTCAGCCAGGAGCACAGCTGGGGCGGGGGGAGTCCACGAGGCCAAGGCCCCTGCTCCGCCCGCCCTGGATTCCAGCCCCACCTGCCCCAGCCCACAGCATCAGCCGCTCGGGGATAACCCATCCAGACACTCACCTCACCTGGTGCCACAGTCTGGATTCTGTTTTCTTTTGGTGGAAAACTTGGGGAGCAGATGGAGTACTTTTTATGGCGGGTTCTTTGCCGAAACTGGTGCTGAAGCCAAATGTTGGTTTGCAGCTCGGTGGGGGCTGTGAGCTCGCCATGATGTGCGACGTCATCTATGCCGGCGAGAAGGCCCAGTTTGGACAGCCGGAGATTCTGCTGGGCACCATCCCAGGTGAGCCTCCGGGCTGGGCCCGTCAGTGTTATCTGGGGTCCCCGGCTGCCTGTCTCGGCCCATACCAACAGCGCCGTGGAGCACCTGTGCTGGTCTGTACCACAGAGGTTCTAGCATTCACGCCATGGAGCCTTGTGGGTCCGGAGCCTGAAAGAGCTCGGTGACCCTGGCTGGTTCTGTGCCGGCCCCACCCACTCCCACTTCTCTGGCCCTGGGGCCACACAGCCTTGATGAGCTCAGCCCAGCGAGGAGTCCGGCCGCCTGGAGGAGTGGGCCGAGACTGAGGCGCTGGACCACGCAGGTTCTCGGTGCATCCTTGCAGGGTCTGAGCCCACGCGAGAGTTGCCGACATGAGGGACCCCAGCTCGCAGAGCAGGGAGATCTGGAAACTTCTAGAATGTTGGAAGAGCCCATGGAGGGGCTGGCAGACACCATGTGACTCAGTCCTGGGAAGAGAGTTCTGGGGGCGCTGAGGCGCCAGGCCCTTCTGTTGCCCCCCCCCCCGCGCCTGCTGGCCAGCTGCCCCCCATGCCCCTGAGGACTGGCCGGCAGCGTGCCCCAGGCTTTCCGTGGAGCCAGCGTAACCAGCAGCCCCTCTCCCTGCAGGTGCAGGGGGCACCCAGAGACTCACCCGCGCCGTGGGGAAGTCGCTAGCAATGGAAATGGTGCTCACAGGCGACCGGATCTCAGCCCAGGAAGCCAAGCAGGCAGGTATGGCAGGGCAGAGACAGGCTACGTCCAGAGGCCCCTGAGCCTGTGTGTCCCGGGAAGCTGGGAGTGACAGCCTTGGAATCCCCGTGTGTGGGTGCAGAGCTGAGCTCCGGTGTGGGTTAGAGGACAGCGCCCCTACCCCATCAGCACCCCATCCCAGGAGCAGCCGCCCCCTGCCCTGTGTGGGTACCTCGGAGGCCTGGCCGTGGGCTTCCCGGCGTGGCTCTCCAGGCAGTCGGGGGCGGGGCCGGTGCTGTTGCACCTTGTGTTCCAGGTCTCGTGAGCAAGGTTTTCCCTGTCGAGACGCTGGTGGAAGAAGCTATCCGGTGTGCTGAGAAAATTGCCAGCAATTCTAAGATTATAACAGCCATAGCCAAAGAGTCGGTGAACGCGGGTGAGCATTCTGCCAGGAACGGGATGGGGAGGCTCTCTGCTCTGAGGCTTCTGCTGGGAACAGGGGTGGGGGTCTCCGCTCTGAGGCTTCAGATGTCGGGGCTGCGAGTGACCCTCAGAGATGCTGGGGTTCTCAGAGTTCTGCTTTCTGGCAACTCCCAGATTCTGTTGCTGTCCCAAGCTCCCCTGCGGCCTGGTGGGGTTGGGGGGTGGGGAGTCCCTGTCCCGGGCACACTTGGTGTTGGGGTGGCCGCCTGGGGCTGAGCTGGGCCTGGTTCCTGTGTTATGTGCCAGTGAAGTGGACCTGACCTGCCCCCTCAGAACTGCCTGGCGTTTGGAATTCGGCTGTGGTTTGCTGGCTGCTGCCTGGGAAGCCACAGCCCCGGGGGTGGCCTCAGCAGGTCACTCAGCCCTCAGCCTAGGTCAGCGCAGAAGGAGCTGCGGTCCCCCGGGCTGTTGCTTGGTCATCGCCCAGCCCACCCGTCTGGGGGTGCCAGCGACGGTGGCGCCCACCCTTCAACCTTGAACGTGGGGTTTCCTGGTGCCCCTGGAAGGATCAGGACCAGGCCCGGAGCAGACGGCAGCCCCCTTCTCTGGGTGCTGTCCGTGCTCCCCAGATGTTCTCCTCACTGGGCAGGGTGCTGCGTGCCTCTGTCCAGTCCCCTGCCCCTCCCTCTGGCCGGTGCTGCAGCTGGGGAGGGCTGGGCTGAGGTCGTAACCCCAGGGTTTCTTTTTCAGCGTTTGAGATGACGCTGACAGAAGGGAATAAGCTGGAGAAGAAGCTCTTTTACTCCACTTTTGCCACTGTGAGTACCCGGCCGGGCCCCAGGAGCACGCGGGCCCCCTCTGGGGGCTGCCGCCTTTTCTGGTTCTGGCTTGGGCTCCCGTTGCTCTGTGGTCAGCCCTTAGCTTTCCCACAGCCAGATCAGGTTTGTTCTATCAGGGAGTCTTTT